TTACTGACTGGGTTAAAGATCTGGGCCCAGTTTCCCAAAACCTTCTTTAATATCCTGAGCGATCACTCGGAGTCGAGTATGATGGTCCACCTGGGTGGTCCATATTGTGGATCTTCAGATGGCTGAAGAGGCCAATTCTTGAACCACAAGCCTTGTCACAATGTGGCCATGGATATGAGGTGCTGGGGGTAGGGTGTGGGGCAGCCTGTTTGGCAGTGACTCTCTCCTTTCTTTGCTGCCGTTTGACTTTGGCAGCCTGTCAGAGATTGTTCTCAAGTTTGGACTTGGCTTTGAAGCGATTTACATTGAACAGCCTTCCATCAGTTCTATATAAGATCTGGACAATGGTGGATAAATTGTGTCCAATAAGGTGGAGGATAGCTGCTATGAAGACTGTAAACAGGGTGGGAGTAATGATGTGTCAACTCTGAATGGTTCAGTCTGACTGCCATTACAGAGAACAGAAGCTGCAAGAGCCTTAGTATTCTGATATATTTTTTTCTGGACATCCACATTTTAACAGGATTTTCTAGAGGGCCTGACAATTAACAGAATCGAAAGTTTTAGTGAGATCTATATTTTTCTTGCAGCTGTCTCGCTGTGAAGATCATATCAGTTGTACCCGGGGCATGACAAAAGCCACACTGAGATCCAGGGAGGATCTCCTCTGATAGGGGGAGGAAGAGAATGCAAGCAACGATCTTCCCGGTGGTGGACAGGAGAGAAATGCCCCTGTAAATTCCACAATCTGCCCTGTCTCCTTTTTTTAAAAAGGCTGACAAGTGCATCTCTGAGGTCTGATGGTATCATCTCTTTGTCCCAGATCTTCATAATGAGAGCATGAATATGGTGATGGGGGTTACCCACTCCGACCTTCAGAATCTCAGCTGGAATCACATCAGGACCAGTAGCCTTTTGTTGTGCATTGCTGAGATGGCATCACAGACCTCTGACAGGCTTGGTGGAACACTTATGCAATTTTGCAATGCAATTTTATTTATATAGCGCATTATCACAACATTACATTGTCTCAATG